GTGGCCTTACGAAGGGTTAGCAAAGTCTGCCATAGTTTCCAAATCGAACAAATCAGTAGCGTTAGATCCGTGATTTTAGTACACTGCGTTAACCAGCGTTTAGCAAATCAATTGCTTTACCGCAACGCTTTTTAGATTTTATAATTCTAAAGAGAGTCCTAATGATATTGCAGGATATTTTTGACCGGAGTACTTTAATGCAATAAGGACCGTGGTGATAATTCAAACAAAACTGATACACTTAATCCATGAAAACAACCTAATAACAAACTGCAGCACAGGCAACTCCTGTGCTATTTAAGGGCATATCAATTTCCGATAATAACTAGTGTAATCACCCAAAGAAGGTGAGTAGTTTGAGAAATAAAGCTAAAAGCATATATACAACCCTTAAGTTTACTCAATTATTAGCAACGCTGTAGTAGCAAAACAAGTTCTTCACCGTACCCATAAATTTACTGGGTTCTTAAATATTTCAAATATATACACTCTTGTTAACTACCAAGGAAAACATCATGTACTCGCAAAAAGAATAACGCCTAAATTGTTTAGCAGAGTTTAGGCTTGTAGACCTGAGCAATCAAACTGAAAAAAAGTGGGGTCTTGGCCATGTATAGCATATCAGTGTTTAACTGGTACTTGAAAATTTGCGGGGAGTCGGTATTTGCACGCTGCTTTGCACCTTCCCGCGCGTACTCCTAAGCTCGCTCTGGCTGTAACCTGTGGAGTCTGGCACGTTTATCGCTCACACTTCTCCCTTCGATCATGGACATCTTCGACGGTGACTAATACCGATCGTGTAGACAGCCTTATGGCTGTCAAGCGTCATGATTCGTCCTGAGGTCAATCCGGCACCTTTCTTGACCTCTCATCGGAAAGGCTGTCAATTGCGCGTTGGTTATATCCCCGCTCAATCCGCCCATCGTGAGGCCTAGTCCTACAAATCTCGAACCGACGTTACCTCGCAACTAGTAAGGAGGAGCTTGTTAGATGATGTCCTACTTGCTACTATGATGTCGTGATATCTAGTATGTCTGATTTATCTTCAAACACAGTACTTAGTACAGGCTTTGATCTTTTTAGCGGCGTTTTCAATATCGACGATTGGCGGGTAAGCCGGTCTTTGGAATATGATGTCTACTTGCTACTTTTGACGAGTTGATAGGAATGAATTCTCTGATTCCTGGATAATGCGACTGTCTAATTTCAGGCTCTTCATTCATATTCTGGAGTAGTATGTCATCGTCGAGTGAAAGGTGAGCGTTTGTGGGAAACCGCAATGATGCAAACTTTATGCAGTTGAGTCATGATTACTACACCAAGATCTCTGATTCTCTCTAAAGCGGTTTTCCTTACCTCTAGGTTGTACGCAGTCGCTGACAAAACGTTGATCGTATGGGCTGGTAAAGTGTTTTTTGGGACTTAATATAAGCTCTAATTCTACTTAACGGCCTTTTGATGGACGAAATTTAGCAAGTTAGTCTCGTGGTGGTTCGCTGATATTGCAGGCTTTCAACTCAAACGCAAGGTAGTGTAGTTGTAGATATGCGGGAAGGGTTTAACATTGGTTTTGGTGCTATCACCTGGGCGTCTGCGCAGTTCTATACGAATATCGGCCAGGTTAAGTTTGAGTGATGTGCCTTGACGGGTTACCTGTCGGGTCCCGGGTGCATTCTGCTTCACCCGCTCTGGGTGGGTTTCTCGCAAGAGCTCTCATTTGCGCCTTTGGGTGTCTGCTGAATTGGCCCATCGGAGACTGGTAGGTGCATTTTTGCTCGCCATTTAGCTTACGGTTCGACTAACGTGCGCTAGTCACTGCGCACACATTAAATTGAAAAAAAGGGCACTTGGGATTTCCGGGTCAAAATGTAGCGAGCAGACACTCGAGAGTAGCCTCCCATCCGAAAATTGCTGAGACATC